AGACCCTATGACCCCAGCAAAGTAAACCCTAAACCCTAAACCCTAAACCTTAGGCTTGGCCGTAGAGTGCAGCAAAGACAGACCCTATGACCCCAGCAAAGTAAACCCTAAACCCTAAACCCTAGGCCTGGCCCTAGAGTGCAGCAAAGACAGACCCTATGACCCCAGCAAAGTAAACCCTAAACCCTAAACCCTAAACCCTAGGCCTGGCCCTAGAGTGCAGCAAAGACAGACCCTATGACCCCAGCAAAGTAAACCCTAAACCCTAAACCCTAAACCCTAGGCCTGGCCCTAGAGTGCAGCAAAGACAGACCCTATGACCCCAGCAAAGTAAACCCTAAACCCTAAACCCTAAACCCTAGGCCTGGCCCTAGAGTGCAGCAAAGACAGACCCTATCCTATGACCCCAGCAAAGTAAACCCTAAACCCTAAACCCTAGGCCTGGCCCTAGAGTGCAGCAAAGACAGACCCTATGACCCCAGCAAAGTAAACCCTAAACCCTAAACCCTAAACCCTAGGCCTGGCCCTAGAGTGCAGCAAAGACAGACCCTATGACCCCAGCAAAGTAAACCCTAAACCCTAAACCCTAGGCCTGGCCCTAGAGTGCAGCAAAGACAGACCCTATGACCCCAGCAAAGTAAACCCTAAACCCTAAACCCTAGGCCTGGCCCTAGAGTGCAGCAAAGACAGACCCTATGACCCCAGCAAAGTAAACCCTAAACCCTAAACCCTAAACCCTAGGCCTGGCCCTAGAGTGCAGCAAAGACAGACCCTATGACCCCAGCAAAGCAAACCCTAAACCCTAACCGTTGAACGTTGAAGCCTAGACTCTAAGCCCTATACCATAAACCCTACCTAAACCCTAAGCCCTAAACGTTAAAGCCTAAACTCTAGACCTTGCACGCTGGTAGATGCCCAAGCCTAAACCCTAAACCCTAAACTGTGGTTCGAGGGCTTGCGGGCTCTGCCCTGAGCGAGCTTCAAAGGGTTTGCATCTATTTACTTTTAATCTTCATTATTAATGAATTAATTAATTTCATTTATTTTATTATTTGTTTATTTTATTTATTTTATCTATTTATTTTATTTGTTTTATTTGCTGCTGCAGGACTCAGTGATGCAGCGGGTCAAATTCTTCTTCGGCGGAGAACTTCCCTCTTAAACAAAATAAATAAAAAGGAAATTAAAAGAATTAAAAAGAATTAAAAATAAAATAAAAAGAAAATAAAAAGGATTTAAAGAGAAATGAAAAAGAGATCAAAAAGAAATTAAAAAGAAATTAAAAAGCGAGAAGAAATAAAGATAAATAAAAAGGACAAATGGAGGCAAAAAGAAAGAAGAAAAAATGAAACAAAAAAGAAGAAATATTTTGAGAAAGATTTTAAAAATATTAAAAAGAATAAAAGCAGCAAATGAGAAAACAGAAAAGACAAAATTAATTTAAATAAATAAAAAGAAATTTCGGAAAATGAAAATCCACAAAAAAGATAAAACTAAACTGAATTTAAATAAATAAATAAATAAATAAATAAATTTCAAAAACTGAAATTCCACAAAGATGGAACGGTGCTTGGCCCCTTCAACTGTACGTACACCGCGAGCCTGAGCTAGCCCGCAGCAGCAGCAGCAGCAGCTCGTAGCAGCTCGAGCAGCAGCAGCAGCTGCAGCAGCTGAAGCAGCATCTGCAGCAGCTGCAGCAGCTCGAGCAGCAGCAGCAGCTGCTCTAGCAGCTGAAGCAGCAGCTATAGCAGCTGCAGCAGTGTACCAGCTGCAGCAGCTGCAGCAGAGCTAGCAGCGGGAGCGCATTTGGCAGCAGCTGCTGCTGCAGCAACAGCAGCTGCAGCAAAGGACATATGAGCGCCAGCAGTCGTATCAGCAGCAGCGGCAACAGTAGCCCCGGCAGTAGCTCCGGCAACAGCGGCTGCTGCAGCAGCAGCGCAACAGCAACTGCTGCAGCAGCAACAGCAACTGCTGCTGCAGCAGCACCAACAGCAACTGCTGCTGCAGCAGCACCAACAGCAACTGCTGCTGCAACAGCAGAGACAGCGACTGCCACTGCAGCAGCAGCAACAGCAACTGCTGTTGCAGCAGCACCAACGGCAAGTGCTAATGCAGCAGCAGTAACAGCAACTGCTGCTGCTGCAGCAGCAACTGCTACTGCAGCAGCAGCAGCAACAGCAGTTGCTTCTGCAGCGGCAGCAACTGCTACTGCAGCAGCAGCAGCAACAGCAGTTGCTTCTGCAGCGGCAGCAACTGCTACTGCAGCAGCAGCAGCAACAGCAGTTGCTTCTGCAGCGGCAGCAACTGCTACTGCAGCAGCAGCAGCAACAGCAGTTGCTTCTGCAGCGGCAGCAACGGCAACTGCTACTGCAGCAGCAGCACCAGCAGCAGCAACAGCAGCTGCAGCAACAGCAGCTGCTGCTGCTGCTGAACTCAAAACTTTGTGGCGGAAGCGACGAGGTGTCGATACACCGCAACAAGTTTAAATCAGGATTTGAAGAAAAGACAAACGAGGAAGCAAAAGAGAAAATAAAAATAAATAAATGTAAATAGATATAAATAAATATAAATAAATATAAATAAGTAAATCAAATAATAATAAAGTCAAGAGACAGAAAGTAATAGAGAAGGGCGTAGTTACTTCGAGAGGAGAGTGGGAGCAGGCACGCGTAGCAGCAGCAGCAGCTGCTGCTGCAGCAGCTGCTGCTGCTGCAGCATAAAGTTTAAAATATAAGGAATGCAGCTAGAGACACACATAACAGCAGCAGAAGAAGCAGCAGCAGCAGCAAGAGCAGCAGCCGGTTATCCCTCAATCTTGTATTGAAACTGTTAAGGTAAAAAGAAGGCCTGCAGCAGCAGCAGCTGCTGCAGCTGCTGCTGTGCCAGCCTGAGCCTCAGCAGGAGCAGCAGGCGGAAAAGCAGCAGCAGCAGCAGCAGCAGCAG